CCCCTCGCCTTTTCCTCTCTTTTGTCGCTTTTCGCCTCGTGCGAAAGGGCATCACTCGTCCACGATCAATCCCGCCGACAATGAGAGTGCGTTGAGCTCTCGCCGAGCGAGAGCAGCAACACGGTTGGGAAATCGATGCAGCTGCCCCGGGCCAAGGATCAACGCGATCCGAAGGCCCATCGGCCAGGATCCGTTCGCAAATACTAAATTTCGGATAGCACCGACCGGCGAGATACATTCGCGATCACCCGTATCCCCGTGGAGCATCCTCAAGGATGACGATCTAGCCACAACGATCGTGTTCCCGCTTGATCACGGTATTCCCGTATCAATGCTGTGCTCCCGGCGATCGTCGCGCGGATAGTTTCTAGAATACCGCCATGCTGGACGTTTTTTCGCCGCGTTTCGACAGATTTAATCGATCTTCTAATTGCTACGCCGATTAGGAGTAATTGCGAGCTGCTCGTTTTTTCGCAGTGTTGCAACGTCGTGCCGTAAGACGCGATGTATGCGGGCAGCGCGTGATCGAACTTTTGCATCCGACGTCGAAGACGCTAGATGATTTTCAGACTTTTTTCTATCGTGAAATCCAAGATGAAGGAAAATTACGTTATACGCACATTGATCATTGAAGTCCTCCATGAAATCGTTTCGCGCAGCATTGTCGCGGCCGCGGACACCGTTCCCCGCGGATTCGGCAGCTCGTTAACGTCGACCGTGTTTCGCAACCGGGCGCTATCTAACGAACAATTATTGAGCAAGGAAAAAACGTAACGCAGTTCCGCGAAGGACGCGTTCCTATTTCGCGAGGATAAGATCAACGTGCGTCAGCGTTCGGATTGGCCGGTAATTTTCGTAATTGTCCGCCGGCCGCTGCCGCGTATGATTAATTGACCCGCGCGAAACCGAACGGGGCGGCGATTCATCGGGGCCCGGCGCGGCGTGGGTAACGAACGTACCCTTTTAATCTTAACGACCGAATTGATTAGGCGGAACGGTTTTTACAAGGGTGTTAAAACGGTCTTCCGTGTGTCGCCTTTTCACGCGTTTAGATAACCGAGCCGATAACGACCAAGGTGACAATAAATTCTGTTTTCCGACGTTAATCATACCTGCGCGTCGTGCGTATGATAGCTGTAAACAGTCGCGCGGGTCCCGCGGGGGATTCCGCGTTGGAAAATCGTTCGACAGAATCGGTGTCGCGCGTCAACGGGAAAATACACGGGGTGCGCTCAATTTTTTTCCTCGAGGGGATGAGTCAGGCCGTTGTAGCGGCTGACGGTTACTGAAAAATTAATGGAACCTCGGTTGATCGAAATCGTGGCAAATCGATGTTAGCGCGAACACATCGGATAGTTTGATCGCCACAGGGTCGTCCGTTTCGCGGCTTTTATCTTGAGGAGACCTTGCATACCGCTCGCGCGTGTATCGTGTGTTAAATATTGATCTGCAGCCGGCGGCTGCGAAGACCTCGACTCGCATTAAGGGCACGCACCGAACGTAACGATACGACGGACGCCAATCCCGACCGTGGAAATCGGATGGACACCTCCCGAAAACGCGAGGGATCTCGGGGAGATGTGTTTGACAACTCTATATTCCCCGGGGGAAGCGAACCGTCAGACGGTCGTAAAATACTGTTGATACTGAACCCGGGACAACGGTGCTTTCCTTAATGACAGTCCTTAGAAACTGGTTTCTTTCCGTGCCTTTTTTTGGACTCGTCGCTATCTAATCGGCGCCGGAAGCGGGACCCTTGTTACGCAACAGCCGACAGTCGAAGGTACCGGAAAGATGAGGTGCCGGTGATACGACCGCCTTTGATGGTACACACCCCGTGAAACGCGATAAATCGAAGGTTTATTTTTTTTTTAACGTTAGACTAACAGACAGGTAGAATGATAAGCTGAAGTTTGGTGCGAGAGGGTTGGACAGGTAAACAAATACAGGATTACTTTCGACCTCGATTTTATTTAAATTCTTCCACTCTCACTTCCGCATACTTTCTGCGACCTATTTTTAATTAAGAAGATGCTGAAGGGATAGCCCAAGTATCAACGTGGGCTAAGGTATAACAGCGTCTGGGAGCCTTTATTTGAAAACTGTGGATATCCTCGTGGCTGACGTACCCACCGGTAGGGAGGGGGAGAACAACATTGCCCCCCTCCCGCTGCGTGGATTCTGCAAATTACTAATGTACGATATTTATCTACATTGCTCGAGTCACGCAAATACGTATATACACACGCGCCGCTGCACAAGCATATTTCGATCTTTTGGCCTTGACCTATCATAGTGAGCACGAGTGAAAGCGGAGACAAGGATGACTCCCGCGGAACCGACGGATCCAATGGTGCATCCTGTTTGATCAGAAGGGAGGCTATATCGATCCCCTTCGCGAGTCGTCTGTGCGTCGGACCAATCGCCGGTGGAAGTTGTCGAGGTCGTACTTGCTCCCGTTTCAGTGTCGCTCATCGTGTATCTTCTCTAATTAATTTCCGTTTTTCCCCCGTTTGTTTTTTTTCCTTTTTTTGTTTCAATACCAATAATCCTCTCTTGGTAAAATTGCACGTGCGAAATTCTGTGAGTGTGTGTGTCTTTTCCTTTTTTCTAGACAACGATTCGTTGAGCTAGAAATCTACTGGAGCACCAAACCAATTTTCCCGGGCGTCATGCTGGGGCAACGCCAATTGTACAGGTAGTACTGAAGGTTCCCGTCGCCTATGCCGAACTTCAAGGGTTCCAGGAACTCCTTATTGTCCATGAGGTCCAACGCGTTGAACACATCAAACCCAAGCTGAAAAGAGAATCGTATCATGTGTAACGTCGTTTGAGCGATCAACGATTGCAGATTATGTGAATCGTATGACTTACATTGCGAGCTGATATCAAAGCGTCTGTCATTAACTCTAGCCAAGGAGTTACAGTGGATACATTGTAGAAACTGTACGCGGCTCTGAGAGTCTTATGGATCAGGTGATGCATTATGGAACTTGGCAATATATAATAGCTGACCATGTCGGTAATTTTGCCCTCGTTTTCAACTACAAAACTGTAAATTATCCCGTTCTGAGGGAGGAACCAGTGTCGGAATTCTTCTAAGGAAAATATCGGTGCCAGGTCGAACTTCTTTAAATACTGAAATGGAAGTTAAGTCAGTAAAATATTCGAATGTGTTTATTCTCCGTCTTAGCGTTTCTCGTTATTTACTTCAGTCAATATTTTGTGAGCCTGTGGTATGTCTGCTTCGACCAGTTTCCTGAATCCTGGCACCTTTGTATGTTCTGGCAGTTTGTATAGTTTCAAAGTTCTCTGCATCGTCATGTTACGAGACAAATGAGAGAACTTAATATCAATTAGTTTCTTTGGATTAAGTGAACGATGCCAGTACCTATTAGAATGATTGGGGTATTGAGTAAATACTTATTTCATATCCTTTAGCTAACATCCGACTACACACACACCTGCAAGTTGCTATTGGTTTTGGCAATACAACACCAGCAGTGTACACAGCTTGGAATATACCTTGTAGATTAACTCGCCTAGTTATTTCTCGTATTAAGACGGGCGCGACTCGTTTTGATCTCAACTTCTTGTGCACGCATAAGAAATTAATTTCCACCATTTTCTGAGTACTAAAATTTTGATCGGGTTAAGTTACAGGCGACGTATTATTGTAAGATAGTTAAAACCTACTGGAAGTATACACGTAGAGTAGCTGGTATAGCGGAAATGAAACCGACTAGACGTCCGCTTTTAGTGACTCTCACCCCACAGTGCCATTCTTTGCACCATCCAGGGGGTTGCAGTGCCCTAAAATAATGTTACTGTGCAGCTATTGTCCTACAAATTAACTGCTATATCTAGTTAATATTTTCATTTACCATTTCAAAAAATTTGGTGGATAATCAAATCTAAACATTGCATCATCGTCCTCCACATAATTCTCAGCTAACAAAGTATACAATTCACATAAGACTAAAGGATCATCGAGATTCAAAGTATCCCATTGAAAATCAGCTGGCAACGAATAAGGTTCTTGCCTTATGGACGTTTTGTCAGGTTCAATGGGTTCATTGTTTACAATTTTTTCATCTGTATAGGATCGATAACATAACTTAATCTTCATATGGTTGTACTAATGCTAGAATAAATCATGCCAATTTACCCATTTTTGGTACTGGCTGCGTGCTCCAAAATTGATAAGGCTTTTGCATAGCTTCCTCCTGAGTTTTGGCAGGCTTTTGTTGCATATTAAACACTTCCATAGCCATTTGTATGTCTTTCATCCAAATGTTACATGGACTGTGCATATCATGATCATCCCTATGACCCGCATGGTCATGATTCTCAGTGGCGGCTTGCGCCATCTGGTTCTTCTTCTTACGATTTCTCTTTTTTGAACTGAATTATGAACAATTTATTATTACCATTTTGTACAGAAATAGCAAAAGAGGTGTCATGTACGCACACAGCCATCTACACTGACAGGAAAACACAGAAACAAATAGTAAGCGATGAGGAAGGGATACATTTGAGGTATCCAAAAGCGGAAAGGTTCAACAGTAACAAGACTGATGGAAATTAACGAATGCATAAATGACTATGAACTAAAATATTTATTAAGCAAGTGATTGCAGTTTGAAGTGTATGCATAGTAGGTTACTAGACTGCACGCGCTTATTCTATAGGTCAAACGCATTTTAGAATGATCAAACGGAAAGATGCAAGACCCTTCATCTAATACCAAGCTCTACAAGGTCACTTTCATTGAGAATTACGAAACCAAACGAGGAGAAACGAATGTAACTAGTGCTCGCAGAACTGCCGGCCATCCATCACACCCACGCACAATGTACAAACGGAAAATCATTTCCCACTTTAGATAATTGAAAACCAAACAACGAATATCTCTTGTTAATTAAGCGATTGTTCACGTACCTCTTCACCTTCCCATCTTTTTCGTGAATTTCATCTTTCTTAGCCTCTCGTTCCACAACTTGACTCTTTTCCTCCATTTTAATATAGATTTTGATAAAGCGCGTGCGCTGGATACGGTGGCTCCGCCTGGCACATTTAAGCGGAAGGACAAACTGTCACGTGACCGTCGTGCCATATTTGTTGCTTCGAAAAAGTGTCCCCTCGTGGTGGTCTCGACGTTTATTAAATTTGTTGTTAGTAATCGAGTAGTTATTGCTGCTTGATATGCACAATAGTTTCCTTATCCAACGAAGAATACTGGCCATTGAAGGTTTCAAATATTATATTAGTTTTCCCGTTAAATTTTGAAGAAATGTTCACGGTACATTTTTGCCGGTCAAACTACGAATTAAACGCGGGTCAATAAGCGTCTTTGGGAGCTCGTTTCAAAGCATTCGTAAGTCACAAATTCAAATTATAACGCGAATGAATTGTTTAATTATTATTCTCTTTCAGGAAAGATATATAAAGTCATTATTTATCCCAGGTTTCTTACGAGTACTTTCATTATTAACAATGATTGGTTATGGACGACTCGCGAAAATGGCGGTAAGTGCTTCATTTCATGGTTATCATAACTTCCATTGTAAACATCGTTGTAGAAGTTTATTATACAATCAAATGAAAAAAGAAATATTTCTCATAACCAATAATCAAAAATTAAGTCCGACAAACGATTAAGAAATGTATATAAATACTGAAACAATAATCATCATAGGTAACGAGACTATATTTATGGATACAGTGAATAAATCACACCAAGTGTGATAAAACCAAAATTCCAACACATCAATCAATATCTAAAAATCAATTAGATAATTCATTAAACTCCACATAACTGTCGCTCAGAATAAAACGTTCAAAATGGCAGTCTGGCAATTATATTTTTCTTTATTTCATTACCAACAGTGTTCTTACATCTTCATGTCGAAACAATGTATAACTTCTATATCATAATATACATATATCCATTTTCATATATATATAATTCATTCATTCATTTGTTTAATTATTTATCCACGTATAATAATTGTTAGTGATCGTAATAGCAATAAATAGTCTGTAGTAGGCGAGACTGTAGGTGTGTAAACAGTATTTAGGTACGTGTAATTCCGGTTTATCGATAATTCAAGCCAACGTTCGCTCGCTCGCTCGCGCGCGCGCGCACGCCGCGTGCCATCATTAATTCGCGATTTGCATACCGCGGGCTGCGCGAAATTAGGCGTCGCGGTCCCCGTGAACCGTCGCGGAAAAACTTTCTCCCCTCGAGTGGAAACTCGTTATCGGCGATAACCGAACCCGCGCCGTTCCCCGGCTCCGCTCAAATGGCACAATCTGAACGGAAAATTGATCTCGGCGGAGAGGCGTCGTCGCTTCCGGTACGCGCGGCTGCTTCTCTCCTTTGAAGTGTCGTGGAGCCGAGCGGTATCTCCGAAGTAATAGTCGCGAAGGGATGAACTCCCGCGGAACGTTGTCGCGGCATTGAACAAACCCTCTCGCGGCGAGGATGAGCAAAGGAGAATCCCGGGACGAGAGGGAACCGGGGCAGACCGTGGAAATGTTTTCCCGAGCGAGCGCTCATTCTTCGACCGGGCCGATTGAAAACGGCGAATCGAGTGCCTCGGTCGCTCGCTGCCTCCCCGATAGACCAGGTAGAAAAGTAATTCAGGACTTGAACGATCTAGGATACATTTATTGGAAGTAGTTACAATAAAACTGTGCCAGCTGCGGGTGTGGAAAGTGATCAGGATCGCGCTCGAGCGAAGAACGTTCGTAGAAAGTCGAGAAATCCTACGGTGTTTCTTGTTGGTTCTCGGAGATCGAATGGTTTAGGTGTGACGAACATTAATTCGATGGGAGCGATTGAATTTGAGAATGAAAACGGTGATGGAAAAGGTGTATACTACGTGGGATAGATTAGGGAGATTCTATCGGTGAGACGAAGGCAGAGAAAAGTGTGACGATCTACAGTTCGAACTTCTCGAATTCTAGAACCCTCTCGAATCTCACGTGTCGATGGGAGAGGAAGGATAGTCGGTTCGATGGTTATTATATTAGAGAAACGAGAAACGGTAGAGCTACGTCGAGGAACGAAGTATTCGCGAATCGTGCGGTCAGTTCTGTTAACGAGTGCCTGGAGGATAGCGATCGATCGCCGCCTCCGGTGGCCACTGGAATCCTGAATGGATCGGTTGGGTGCGTGTGGACCGTTTCGCGTCTCGCGCGTCTTGTTCGTTGTCCCCTAATCATCCTAATCACCCTTCCCTACTCCTGTTACAACATTCATCACCTGCAGTTCGTCGCAATCCTTATTACTTTCTTCTTCCCGACTCTGTAATCCGTTCATCGAAGCATCATTTATCATCCTCTTCTCTTCCATCATCTATTACACTGGTTTCGTCGATGAAGGCTGGGAGAAGAAGGGAGAGATCGTGATAAGAAGTGAGAGGCAGAGACAGTGATAAACAGTGGAAGGAGAAGACGCATTCGGTCTGTTCCCCGGTGTTCGTTCGGTAACCTGTTAACCGGGGACAAATGTATTCAGCAATTAATCTTAATTAACACATTCTCCGCCGACAAATCGACTGATCCTGCGCAGCTGTTGTTAACAACATTCAGCTCGGGTAGTTCATTACAAGGCGTCGGCCCGTCGAGCGCACGAAAGTAACCGTCTGCGAGCTTCCTAACGCTATTTACAAAACGCAAACGCGCGTACAATATACATAAACGCGGCAAGGTGCTAAACGCGAATTCAATGTGTCGCGGGTAAGATGTCATCGGCAGTGACCGCGTTAAGCCATAATACTGTTCGTTGCGGTTTAAATCAGCGGACTACCCACGATCGATCCAATTAACAGGTAGAATCACGAACGTACACCGCGGAGCACCACTTTAACCAGTCATAGAGCGCTCTACGCAACTACGAGAACAATTCCTTTTTAGCCACCGCGCGCGCACACACTCGCACGCACACACACACACACACATACACACGCACACCGGAGAGACATTCTGAACCGGTCCTCGAATTATTCGGCGGTACCCCGATCAACGCTCGCGTCCCCCAACCCTCCGTTCGTCCGTCGGTCCGTCGGTTCGCCGAAAAAACTCATCAATTTCCGCGGATTTCGCCGGGTGTCGGGTTCTCATTAACGAGCGGGAAAGACAAGACGGTTCTTAACTTGGCTACCTTACGCCGCTAAAATACATCACCGTCGGGCAATAATTACGGTCCGCCGGCGATTCGCAATTTATCTTGGAACTGGTGGCTAGACACGAACAAAGAAAGTGAGACAGCGGAGGAGGACAGGAGAGGAAGGAACGGGACAGACAAAGAGAGAGAGGGAAAGGAAGGAAGATAGAACGAGAGTTAGCGAGGCGCGAAATTCCGCGAGGATGAGAGAGCGGCTCCCGCGGATCTTACTCGAAGAGATATGTGAGGGGATCACGAGGTCTCTGGTATCTGGGTCGCGCGATGGGATACGGACAATGTACACAGGCGATTAAAGATGGAAAACGGAGAAATTACGAGTAGGATAAACGTAGTAGCTGATCGTCAGTCGGCCGGATATCTCGGGGGGGCCTCGAGAGTTTTCGTTTCCCCTGGGGAAAGCTCGCGCGCGTTCGCCGCGGCTCGGCGCGGTGCAGCGTGGCGGCTTGTTCCTCTAGCCCGCGGAGGGCTCGGACGATCGACGGAACCCCGTGGCGTTGTACGGGGAGTCTTCTAACCGGTCCCTCCGCCGGGTCGCCCGGTTCCTCAGCAATGATATGCATAGAAGAGCGAGGCTAGCAGCCACAGGGCGCCGGTCCCGTAGGATCTGCCGCCCACCCCGTTCCTCCCGGGCCGTTTGCGTTTCGGCTTCGGCTTGGCGCGACGTTTCCGCGAGTAGATCGCGTTCGTCGCGTTCGTCGGTGACTCGATGTTGCAGTAGCTCAGGTCGCAGCAGCTGATGCAAACCTGGAACGAAATAACCGAATTTATTTTATCACCCCCTCGGCCCGGCCCTCTCTCTTCCTCGTCCTCTTCGAGTATGAGCTTTGGCGCGGTGCGACGTTTCGGAGGATGGATGGATGGATGGATGACCTTGGATTCGGAAGAGAGAGGCCAGCCCCCGGTGCACGGAATAAAATTCGCTATTTCGCACCTGCTGCGTGTCCACCGGGATGCAGCCGACCGATGCTGGCCCGCATTCCTCGCTGCTCGCGCAACTCTTGCTCACCTGAAACCCACCGATCTTTGTCTTCCTCGTTGATCGACGGCCGCCTTTGTCCCGCGACTCGCATACTACGTTTCGCCTGCCAATCCTTCACGGGAGGATAAGCTTTTTCAACGAATACCCCGCGCTGTATCGATCATCCGCCGACCGTCGTCTGAGTTAGACTAACCGGCAGACGCTCGCTTGTTTAATTCATAGATCCCCGAGTCCTCGTACGTACCGATGTTCGGTCGTTAGGATCGCAGCCGGTTCCCGGGCGTATCTCGTTCCGCTTTCGCTTTGACGGAAAATCACTGGGAAAACTAGCACAACGGCTAACGCTGCCCGCAGGAATCTGGGATTGTTATTCTTTTCTATCGCTCGGAAGGAACAAGGTTGTGGGAGGTTGCTATCTTTTGATCAGCATGGAGTCTTGTTGGTGATGAATTAAAGATCGTTTGGGGGTCGCGATGTTTTTGTGCACGAGGCTTGTGCGATTCGATAGTTTGCGAATCGGTTTCCTCTGGTTTCGGCGGAAGCTTTGGATATTCGGTTTTGTCGTTGCCTTCGCGAGTTCGTTTGGTTCGAGTTTCCGAATGCTTTCCTTTGTAGGTGAATATATTGGTAGCATTAATTTCTAACGGAACAGAGAATATGTAATAATAAGTCAAGCATATTCGCGGAAGTTGCGATGGCCGTTTATTAAACTTCTGAGCAGTTGCGCGAATTCATGAATCTCTGTCTGCCCTCGCTGGATCGGCGCAATACTGAAATCCCTACAGCTGAACATTAATTAAAGCTTCATGAATATATGGAAATAGATCCGCCAGTGTTTGTGTTTCTTTTATTTATTCGGAAAACTACTAAATCTGTCGCGGGGGAGGGAGTGGTGGAGGTGGGAGTTGAAACGTTCATGAAAAATGCATGAATACATGCAAATAGATCCGCGAATCTTTGCGCTCCCCGTGCGCAATTCGGCACAGCGGCGACGGATCAATCGAAACCGGCGTGCTATTAAAAGCATTTTTACACGCGATCACTAAACTAATCTCGGTACACATAGCGGGAACAACAGGTTTGATCAATATTTGTTCATCGGAAAGGAGTGGACTTTGAAATGCAGATACCGCGTTCCGCGGTGTTTTTCCCGGAAACGATAGATCTCTGTGCGGTAAATCGCGTCGTCGTCATCTGCCGTTTTTCCCACGACTCGGTCACCGTATCCAAGAATTAATTAACCGGAGAATGTAGATCGCGAATAAAGGTGTCTGGGCCGCGATGGATCCAATTAATACGTAAGCTCGTAATAGAGAGGATTCGTGACACTCTTCTTATTCAATGAAAATGTAGAGTACTTCTACAGCGAAGCTTTCTATAATAAATTATACAATAACTATAGTTGAATAATTATAAAAACTTGAACACGAAGGAAGAGTTATACTATTGGGAGACTACTGATATCTAACAGTACGTCACACGATTAAGAAAAGCCTCTCACTAATGATTTTCTTCCTGGTTTCAATCGTCTACGTGTAACTACTGATCAATAGAAAATTAGTATCAAAAATAAGATGTGAAAGGATGAAAGCTAACTAAGACCATCATTCCTCGCCATCGAGCGATCTCCAATATACGTTTATCACACACGGATTACCACAAGATAATCCCCACAATATTTTCCAAGATTCTCGTCTTGGTTGGAAAAAACCACAAGAATTCCATGGTCATGCACGGTTGCCGGCTGCGATTCAATTTCATCGTAAATACTCCCGTTAACAAACCCCTGGTATCGGTGGAACGCGTTTCACGCGGCAGGGTAGGACGCGATTATGCGAGACGCGGGGCAAATCCGCGATTGATTTCCGTCGAGGGCGCGTGATGCGAGCGCGGCCGTTACACGCCGGCCGTGATAATTCTATCGCGTTGCAACGCCGTTAATCCGGCCCGTGAAACGGGGAACAGGCACGCGAAGGAACGCGATCGCCGTCTGCCCGCTCGGAACGCACATTCTGCTCGTTCCTCCCGGAACCGCGCCGCCCGACCGACCATCCTCGAGTACCCGACGCCGACGGGCTTCCCGCGGGATTGAGAAACACTTGAATACCGGTCGCAATTGCTTTAACAAATCGACCGTGGACTTTCGCGCGTTCCTGCCGAAAGCGAGCCGCCTCGACGATGAGATAAAACGCGAAGTATGATTGGATTCGGTATCGCCACCGGCGGCGCGTTCCACGTTAACTGCGGCCGTTTGTCCGAGGATATAAATTTCCGCTCGACTTCGGCCTTCGTAAATTGCGCCCGGGGTAATTCCGTTTCGGCCGAAGATTCGCGGCTCGGTGATTAATTAGGAGACTTTCGCGAAGGGAACGCCGCCCACGGAAGCTTTATTGCGGGCTCGGATAACTTTTGTGCAAGGCGATCGATGTTCGTTTCTTTTTTTTAATTCGAATTCCGGTTTGTTCGTTACCTTGTTCATTTGTTAATGGAGCATCGGCTCGCGTTAATATTCGTGCCTCCATGGAACGAAATGCGAGAAGTGTTAGATAAGAGAACAAAGGGGCGTGGAAGTCGTTGAAAGATCGAGTGCCACGTAAATTAGCTGCCGGGTTGAGAGTCTTGATCATTTTGTCGATACACAGTGGACGTTGAAGGAAATTTACATCTTAATGAGCTAATTTGCGAAATAGGAACGCGGAACGAATTTATTGCCACGGTGAATGCTTCTGCCGGGCAAAAGGAGGTTCCTGTAATGTCTACGGTCTATTTCTCGGCGTTTGTTAACGTTCTCAAAGTGCTATTAATGCTTTCCCGAGCAGAGATTCAAAGGCTGTTTCATTTTCAAGTGTTGCCGACTAGCGCCGTCCGAAGAAAATAATGAGTTACTCGTTATCACGCCTAGCACAAACGAATACGCGTCGAATGATAGTACCAACGGTCGCGGGAGTAATATGGAGTTCCTTCGATTCTGTTGTTACTCGAATTCACCGTGGTTTCGCGTGAAAGATCTGTTTCGGCGTATCCGAACACCGTGTTGCGCAAGAGTTCCCTGTTACTTGGGATTAAATAAAATGTACACCGGCGACGGGAAGTTTGGTAGCACCGGCAGACTTGAAGTATTCCGTGTAATAACACGTTCCGGTTGATAAAACACCGAGTTCTCTCGAAATTCCCCCCACTGAATATTCTTCTTCTCTTAATATATACATGACCGCGCTCGTTGCTCAACAGGTTGTTCCTTGCTCTTTGCCCGCGACGTTCGCTTTTACAACAATTACGTCAGTACGCGTTGCGCTTTACTTCGAAATTCGTGCTTCATCTAACTTGGCAATTAAATATTAAAGCTGCGGATTAAACATTCAAGTCGATTAGCGGGAACTCGTAACGTTCATTCGTATTGCATTATACGAATGCAATTATTATAGAAGTAACCGAACAAACATTCGTTAGAGTTCATTGAAGGCTTTGTCAAAATCCGTATCTATAAATTCTAAAGCTTCGGGTGGATCGAGAAGAGAATGGTTCATGAAAGTTACCAAATTCATTTATAGAATCTCTTAGCTCTCGGTTGTTCGAATAATTAAATTACCGAAAGAAACTAGCTTTGGATTGACGTAGATAACATTGGGGATCGATCGCCATTCAGATAAACGCCCGAACTTCGCGGTTCACTCGCCGGAACGATCGAAATGAAGTTCCCCATTTTTTCGCGTTCAAGCGAAGAGCTGCATTCAAGCTTTCCGTCAATAATGTTACCCTCGCTCCGACCCCGAAGAAACGTTTTCCCCCGTCGAACTCCGTGCAGCTCCGTTCAATTAACAATGCTTCATTAAGGCTCAATGTACATAGACGGCCGGGCAGTGGTTCCGATCGTTCCCGATTATCCAAGAATTACGTCGTTAATTAATCGCTGGCCATTTTGCGTAATCCGTGGTCGGTCGAAGATCACGGGAAGGAACGAATCGGCGAACTGTAATCTGATCGAGCATTAAAAACACCGATCAAAATCGAACCGTTCGATTCCATTACGAAACAATTCCCTGTTAATAGTTCATTTCACCGTGCAATTATTGTCTCTATTATAATAACAATATTCCGCTCCGAACCTTCCGTCCCTGCGATCGAATAATGAAATCGTCTCTATCGGATATAATTAAATTCAAATTAAAACTCGATAAACGCGTCCCCGTAATTTTGATACATTGTTGAACGGTAAATCGACTTCACCGGTCGTTGCGTTCGTCGTCGTGACGATACAGTGTACCGTAAAACAGCCGGAATCCGCAATCTAGTAATCAGATCGCATTTCGCCGAACTCTCTCGAGTCTGAGAGCGCAGTCTGGCCACCGATCGGGCACGATCAGCGAGTTACTTCGACGCTTCTAATATTTCTTGGCAACGGAGGAGCTTATCGTGTCCCCGTGGGACCACCACGTGAACGATATATTTCTCCCGAGCAGTGCCGTTTCAAGTGCTGCGAAAAAATTTGCTTGCCAAGACGCTGTTTCCTTTGCTGTCCAAAATGTGCAGCGATCTGCAGAAGTCCCGGCCGGCCGCCGGACACGGCGTGTCTATCGCCCATTCGTTGCACATCTGCGGACAGAAAGAAAGCAAGAGAGAGAGAGGGACGACAGGAGGTAGGGGAACAGAGAGGAAGAGGGAAATAGCAGAGACACATCGGCCAGTGGAAATTTAAGTGGACAGCG